GCCCGGCTAAATTGGATGCAGACGCCAGGCTGCGCGGAGCCCCCTTTGCGCAGGCCGGAGTTATTTTGGCTGCCGGGTTTATCGGCCGCCAGGAATGCGGCTGCCTGCGCGTCACGCCGCCGGGGCTCTGCCGGGTTGCGGCTGCGGGGCGATATGGAAAAGGGCTGGGGGGTAGGGATGGGAGGGGGGGGGGGGCAAGCGGGGGGACACCCCCCACCCCCCCCCCCTCCTCAGCCAGTGCCGCAGAGCCGCCGAGGAGCGGGAGGGGCTTTTTTTAGGCGGCCTCGGCGGGGCCGGCCGCGCTTCCAGCCCCAACCGCTCCCCGCCTGTAAATCTCGCGGAGATGACAAATGGCGGAGGGGGATTTATTTGGGCTGGCTGCCGGCAGAGGTGCCGAGAGAGGGGCCGCGCTCTCCCTCCGGCGGAGCCGTGCCGATCAGCGGGCTGCCACGGTCGGGAACCCCGGAGCCGTGGCGAGGGCAGGGGAGTGGAGGATTTGGGGATCACCGAGTCCCGCCCCCCCCCCCCCCAAGACATCCCAGAGCCTAAACAGGGGAGCTGCAGGCTCGGGGCAGGGGGGGTTGCCCGCTGTGGGTGCGTGGCGTGGGGCATCGCGGCCCGTCCGGCAGCGCGGTGGTGCCGGCCGTGGCCACGAGCCGCGTGTGCGGGGAGCGGGGCGCAGCAGCGGCAGCTCGTTGGGGCTCTTTGAGGAAGCAATCAGTGGGCGGGCAGGAAACTCATACCATTCATTACTGACGCCGGGCCGGCAGGAAGGGGAGACCGCGTCCCCACCGCGTCCCCACCGCGCCCTGCCGCGGGGGCCCGTGCCCGCCCAGCCGGCACCAGGCGTCCCCAGCACCCGGTGGCACCCCGAAGCGGGACCATGGCGTGCCCTGAGGTGGGGGACACACACACACACCCACCCCAATGCCCACAGCCGTGCTGAACCCCCGCGGGGTGGCTGCGCCCCTTCCCCATCATCCACAGGGGGAGGGAGCCGGGGGGGGGGGTGGGGGGGTGGGCAGACACTGGCCCCATTCACCCCCACGTCAGCCAGTGCATTTTGAAGGTCCCCCCCATCCCAAATCCAGAGCAGGCAAGAGCTTTTTTGACCGTGTAAACTTAATTTTCAAAGCACCCTGGCTGTGCAGGCGCCCTGCTCAGGAGCTGACCCCCTCCCGCCGATGCCCAGACCCCCACGGGAGCCGGTGGTGGGTGGCCCCAGCCCCTCCCCATGCTGTGGTCCTCAACGTGCCGCCTTCGGGTACCCGCCGCTCCCTTCAACTCGGGTTTTGTCTTCTCTCCCCACCCCGGCCCCTTTTAATTAGATCAAGGAGCAGCAGGGCAGGAGCCAGGAAGGGGCCTCAATAGGTTATTGTTGCCCTAAATTGTAACCAGCACCGGTGGGGTTGGGTTACCGGCTCCGACTCGGGGTCAGCCACCAGACCCCGCTGCCGCACGCCCGGCGGCCGGCACCGCGCTGCCCCGGGGACCGTGCCGTCACCACCCCGGGGCCGGCGAGAACAGCGGCTCCCTTGTGTCGCCACATCTTTCCGTGTCCCGAAAAATGTCCCCAGGGAGGCTGGGGGTGCCCACTTGCCGAGCAGGGGAGCGGGCAGCCCCCTGCCCCACACCACGGCTGGGTCGGTTGGGCCGAAGCGACCGGGTCTGCGAAGGTCCCGGGGAGCTGTGTCCCTGTGGCAGATCCCCACGGGGCAGGGTGGTTTTGGGGGGGCGGAGAGATGGGATCCCCACCACCCTCAACGGGGCAAAGTCCACCAGAGCTGGGAGGTGCCAGAGCCGGGCCCTGCCCGCAGCAGGGAGCTGGCATGGCAGGATGCTGGTGGAGGGATTTGGGGCTGTTTGGCTCCCCCAGCGCTGGAGCGGGACACAGAGGTGCCTGGGTGGTTCCCTGGGGATGCTCAGCCCCCCAGCACCCCCCGCTGCTGCCCCCCCCCCCCCCCCCCTCCAGCCAAAGCCTGCGGCTGAGCAAGATCATGGGGGGGCGCGTGGGGCAAGCTTGCAGCCCCGCTATTCCCCAGCTCCAGCCCCCACCGAGGCACACGTCCCACTGAAGCACGTGTCCCCACTGTCCCCTTGCCACCCCTGCCCGGTCCCGCTCCCACCCCGCCTGGGCCTTAGAAGCCTTTTGGGGTCTTGCAGGGCGTTTTAGGGGGGTTCTGACAACACCCACCCTAGCGGTCAGGTCTCACTGGCAGAGCCCTGAGCAGGACACGTCTGTCCCTGTCCCCATCCCCGGTCCCCTGCAGACCCCAGCCCTGGGCTGGCGGCTGCTTGCCCTCGGCGGGGAGGGGGCTTTTCCTGCTGCCCCCGCTTGGCTGCCGAGCTCAGCGGCGGGGAGGGGCCCCCCCCACCGGGTGCCACCCCAGCGGGACCCGGTCGCCGTGGGGTGAGATGCTCCTGCGCGGCCGCTCGAAGGGGTTAACGCCGGGCCGGCCGCCTGCCCCGGGTAATTACACCCTGTAAAAATAACCCTGTGCCGTCCGCTCGGGCGGGAAGGCGGCGAGTGGTGGCAGCGCCGAAATCGCTCCCAGATGGGCCACCACGGCCTTGGCCGACCGGCGCTCCCCAGCTTTCCAGGAAGCCGCCGGGATTTCAGCCTCTCTCAGCTTTGCGGCAGCGCGGGGGGCTGCGGGATGGGCACACGCCTGCCCTCATCCCCGGGGAGTGAGGATGGGGGGGACCCCCCCCCACCCCCAGCACCCTGCGCCGAGGCAGCGTGTCCCGCCAGGGGCTCTGCTCTGGCCGTGGGGACCCGGGGGACCCAGGGGACCACGCTTTGGTTTCCACCGTGCCCGATGTTTCTCTGGAAGCCAGATGGCTCGCAGGCTTCGGGGCGCAGGGCTGGGCCAGCACCGGGGCAGCGGGACTTGCCCGGGTGAAGCCGGTGGCTCCTCCCGTTGTGGCTCCCCGCCGACACCCCCCCCCAACCCCATCCTGCCGGTGGCTGCTGGCCGGGGCTCTCGGTTACCAGCCCCGCTGGATCGCATAGCGACGAGGATTGGGTTTGGGTTCGTTTCAGGGGGTTTTGCAATTCCTCCCCGGCGCTGATTCAGCTCGCAGGAATTAGCAGCGCCGCACACTGTGCCGCTCGGAGCCGCTCCTGGCGCGCGCCGGGGCTGGCAGCAGCCGGGGGGACTTTTGCTCTCAGGTTTGGGAACCCGTGGGGGTGGGTTGGGGGTCGGGAGGCTGGAAGGGCCCATTTTGGGCGCTGCCGAGCTCCCGTGGAGCCGCCTGGGTGCAGATGTGGGTGTGGAGGCGCGGGGATCCGAGGCCACAGCACCCCCCGTACCCCTCCGTGCCGAGGCCGAGCCCCGCTGCCCGCCTCGTCCTGCTCCGGGCCCTTCGCCACGCGGCCGCCGTTGGCTGGAGCCCCCGCACCTCCCGGCTGGCACCTAGATCTTCCGGGCCACCCCAAAATCCTCGCCTGGGGGTTTACAGGTTGCTCTACATCTGCCAAAGCCAAGACCCCCCGCTTTGCCAGGGCAGCCGGCGTGGCATCTCCAAAGCGGACGCGGTCACTTCGGAGGGGCCGGGAATTCCCCCAGGAGCGCCGGGACCTGCCGAGGGGTCGTGGGGGGGGGGTCCCCTGCAACCCGTTAGGGGAAGGGCACGTCACGAAGCCAAGCAGCAGGAGGGAAGGGCTGCTGGTCCCTGCCAGCCCGGTGCCGGTGAGGGGACACGCAGGGGCCGACCCTGCGCCCGGTCGGGCTCGGGGGGGGGGGGGGGGGCGAGGGGGGGTCGTGGTGGCGGCCGTCCGGAGGCACCCGGCGCGAGGCCGCAGCTCCACCGGGGACTTTACTTCTCTCCTCCTGGCGGGGCTAGAAAATATACAAAGCTCGCAGTGAAAATATTTACACAGCAGCAATTTTCAGAGGAATTTGGGATGTTAATTTGAAAAATCTGTGGGGAGAGGACCACAATGGGCCCTTTGAGCGGGCGAGCGTGGCCATCGCACGGACCCGCCCGCGCCGGCGAGGGGCCCCTCCTGCTGCTGCGCCGGCCCTAATGGGAGCCAGCCATGCCGGAAGCCCACCTGGGAGTCGGGGGGCGGGGGGGTCCGTGCCAGACGGCCCCCGCTGCCGCCCCACACCCCTAATTGCATCCAGAGCCTCTCCCTCCCGCCATCGGCCCCCGGGGCGAGCAGGACCGGGGCCGGATCCGGCGGCCCAGCCGGGGCTCCCGGAGAGCCGCCGGCCCCGGTGCGGCAACGGCACGGCGGTGACCCTCGGCTCCGCTGGCGGCAGCCCCGACACTTCAGCTCGTTTTTTTTTGCTCATTCTCTCCAAATCAAACATACCTCAGCAGGCAGGGCCCCAACCTGGAAAATTCCAGCCCGAAAGATAAAGGATTGGAAAACGATTAAAACCAGAGGGTTGGAGCAGAAACCACTTGGCAGCGGGAACCTGCCGAGCGCCGGCTCCCAGCCCTCCCTGCCGGAGCCAGCGCACAAAACCGGCTGTGGGGCTCACTGGGGGGGTTCCTGAGCCTTGGGTCTGGCTGCAGCCCCCCCACGCTTTGGGGGGCGGGGGGGGGGGGGGGGGCTGAGCAGGCTGACACTTGTCACGGGTGTTTTGGGGGCGCTGGTGGTGATGTCAGGAGGTTGGGCAGGGCCGCGCGTCCCGCAGGCGGCCCCGGAGCCATCTGGCAGGCGGGGAGGGATGAAGTAAGGCTGGACGATGCGCAGGGGCTGATTTGAAACCCATGGCCTCTGTTTTGGGAACACCTCCTCAGCACCCGCAGTGCTGGGGGCGGGGGGGAGGGCAGCACCGTGGGGGCAAAGCTTCCCCAGCGCCACCGCCCAGAGTCAGGAAAACTCCCCCCTCGGTCGCCCTGACTCATCCCGGCGCTCGCCAACAACAACGGGACCTTCCCGCTCCTCGGCAGGGGCCACACCGCGCTGCCCGCACGCCGGGGCGAGATGGGCAGCGCCTGCAAAAGCGCTCGGGGCTGCGCAGATGTTTTCATTATTGTTGTTGTTTTAATTATAATTTTTTTTTTTTTTTTTTTTTTGTTACAAAAAGACACCCTTCTGGTCCGCCTTACAAAAGAGATGTACACAAACCTGTACCAGCAAAAAAAAAAAAAAAAAAAAAAAAAAAAAATATTTTCCCAGAAGAAATGGGAAATAACCATGTATAAATATTCTCTCCGAGTTCTTAAAGCTTCAATTCCCGGTTTGCCTGCTCGGCACTTCCTTTGGCCCGGGGGTCCCGAGGGTCCCAGCACCTCGGCCGGGCCTTAATTGCTCACATCAGCTTCCAGGGAGTTGAGAGTCACGGGCCGTGCTCCGCTAAAGGACCCCTGTTACCAGCACGTGGACGTCCCTTAGCCGAGTCACCGGCAGGTTGCTTTTTAGCAGTAGCTAAAAAAACCCCACCCGAGCCCCAAATTAAAAACCCAAACCCCCTCTCTTTTGCTACCCACGTTCTACGTAGAGTCATGGAAATCAAGGCACCGAGTGGTAAAATTAGTGTCTCCTCCCAAAGCGTGGCAGCCTCTCGGAAATTGCACATTATGGGTTTGGAGTTTTTCTGCCTTAACTCCTCGCCGTTCCTCACCCCGGAGGGACTCGGCCGGGCGCCGCTGTTGGAATTCAACCCTCGTCTGTCCGGGGCTGCCCCGTCCCTCCTGGCTCAGAAATAGGAGGGTTTGAGCCCCGGGGTGTTGTTGTTGCTGGGGTAGTGCGACTGCATGAGCGGGACCTCGCACTCGGAGCCGCCGGAAAGCATCGCCGCCTCCGGCACCTTGCGGCCGTGGCTGCTCAAATCCCCGTTTTCCAGGCAGGCTTTCACCCCTTCCAGCTCCAGCGGGCTGGCGTCCGCCCCGGCGCCGGCGTGTGCCTTCGCCCGGCGGTGCCGGCGGTAGTACGTGCCGGCGGTCACCACCACCGCCAGCAGCAGCGCGGCGGCCAGCGCGGGGACGATCATCAGGGCGAGGTTGCTGTCCTTGCTCTGGGTGACGGGGGAGTGCTGCTGGTGGCTCACCGGCAAGGTCTGCGCCTCGGCGCAGTGCTCCTCCTTGGAGACCTTCTCCCCCAAGGGCCCGATGCAGACGCGGTAGGTGCAGTTGGGCTTCAGCGCCCGCACCGTGTACTCGGCGAGCGAAGCCGGCAAACGCAGCATCACCGGCCGCTTGTCCGGCCCGGAGAGATTTCGGTAGCTCAAGCGGATGCCCTTCAGCTGAGCTTTGGATTGGACGTAGTTCTGCAAGTCCACTTTGAGGGAGGTGCTGCTGACCTGCGCGATGCTGATCCGCCGCCCGGGCGGTGGGGCCGGCGTGGCCGGGGCCGGCGTCGTCCCCCTCGCCTCCACCTCGCAGTACGCCCCGGCGAAGCCCAGCGGGCACAGGCACTCCAGGTGGTTTTGGGCACCCAGGTGGCAAGTGCCCCCGTTCAGACACGTGCGCGGGGGGCAGATGGGGGGCGGGGGGCTGGTGGGGGCCGGGGGGCCGCTGAAGGGCACCGGCGTGGAGCTGCCCTGGGGGGCCCCGGCCGCCGGGGTGGGAGCGGCGGTGCTGGGCGGCGGCGCCGGGCGGCTGCTGGTGGGGAGCGGCGCGGGCGGCGGCGGCGTGGTGGTGCGCGGCGTGGTGGGCGGGGGGGTGGTGGTGGTGGTGGTGGGGCAGCCGAAGTCGGCGTACTGCAGGTGGTGGAGGAGCTTGCCGGAGTTTTTAGGGGGGAAGTGGCAGCGCGTCTCCTCGGGCCGCCGGAGGAGCACGTTGCTGGCGTTGACCCACTGCACCAGCCAGCTCATCTGGCAGATGCAGTTGAAGGGGTTGCCAGCGGCCGTCACGGCCCGCAGCCTGGGGAAGAAGCCGGAGAAATCCCGAGGGATGGTGTTGATGTTGAGGTTGCTGATGTCCAGCTCCTGGAGGTTGTGAAGGTTGTGGAAGTCCTCGGCCGGCAGCTGGGAGATGCGGGCGTTGCCAGCCAGGCTGAGCTTGGTGAGGCTCCCCAGCCGCCGCAGCACCGCCGGGACACGCTCCAGCAGGTTGTCGGAGACGTCCAGCTCGTGGAGGTTGTTCTGGGCCTGGAAGAGCTCCTCATTTAAGCTCGTCAGGCCCAACCCCGCGATCTTCAGGGACTCGATGTTGATGGCGTGGAAGGCCCCTGGCGCAATGGTGGGGATCTTGTTCCAGCTGATGTCCAGCAGCAGGAGGTTGGGCAGGTCGAGGGTGGGCACAGCCCAGAGCTGGTTGTTCTGCAGCTTCAGCTCCAGCAGGTTCTCCAGCGTGTCGAAGGCAGCAGCATGGATGTGCTGGATCCTGTTCTTCTGCAGGTAGAGCCGCTCCAGCAGCCGCAGCCCATGGAAGGTCTCGTTGGTGATCTCCTGCAGCTGGTTGGAGGACAGGTCCAAGTTGACGAGCTCCGTCAGGGGCTGGAAGATGTTTTTCTGGATGCTGGTGATTTTGTTTTGTGAGAGGTCCAGGAGCTGGAGGGCGGGCAGGCCCGCAAAGCTGTCCTCGCTGAGCATCGTGATGCCGTTCTCAAAGACGTAGAGGGAGAGGGTGTTGGGGGGCAGCCCCCGGGGCACGGTCTGGCCCCGTCTGGCCGCGCACAGGATGGTCTTGGGGTCTTGGCACTGGCAGCCCGCGGGACATGCCCCAGCCAGCTCCCCGAGGGCCGAGAGGAGCAGCGTGCAAAGGATCAGCTGGTTCATGGTGTCAGCTCTGCGGGAGAGAGAAACCCAGGCAAGGTTAGGGGGTGTCTCAGACCCCCCCGCTGCACCGCTGCCGGGCTGAGGGCCTTCCCCCCTCCCGTGCCCCGCTCGGGACCTTCTGGCCCCAAAGGGACCACGGAGGGAGCGGGAAGTTCCCCGCCAGACCCCTGTGGCCTGGCACAGAGGTGGGGAGAGCGAAGCAGCACACGGGCTGCCCACCCCGACTCCACGTTCTCCCCCTCCCCAGACCGTCAGGATTTAGGGACATGGTACCTTTGCGTACCCCAGGCTCTACCGTAAGACACGTCCCACCGGCTCTGGCCTGGCCTCTTGGTACCGTGGAGCAGCGAGACCCCGGAACGCGGCAGGGCAAGGGCCCCTACCTCCCGGCTGCTCTCTGCAGGGTGCAAATCAAACATGGGGGATGCGGAGCAGAGGCACCGCTCGAGGGGGTGGGAGCCTGGCCAGCCTTCCTAACACTGAGCTCGGCTTAACCCTTTGCTTGTGGCACCGTCCCGGCAGCTGCACCCACGAGGTCTGCTGGATCGCCGGTGCCAGCAACCCCCCACGGGGATAGGGGCACCCAGGGGTGGCACAGGCTGTGGGGCTGAAGAAGCTGGGGGCCCCCCCTGCCCCGTGGGTCCCCCCTGTGCCCTTCAGAGCCGGCTGCATCCCAAGGCTTGTTACTCAGCCCCGAGCTGGCTCCTGTCCCCTGGGGGCCACGGGTCACCTTGCTGTTCCCCTCCCTGCTGCCACCCCGGGGACTCAGCACAGCACCCTGGGCTGCGTCCTCATCCCTTGGGGATGGGACAGCAGGGAGGATGCTCTCGGGGTGAGTGAGGCTGTAGCCACCCCCACCCCAGCCCCCCATGGGTGCAGCTGGCTGTTCCCCACGGGGCGGGCTCCTCTCTCAACCCCCTTTATCAGCCCTTTTAATGACACTCCTAATTAGCACAGGCTGGGCCCGGGACCCACTGCCTCCTGCCACCCCATCTCAGGAGCACACGGGGGTAGCTGGGGGGGGGTCCCCCCCCGGCAGGGAAGAGGCAAACCCCACCATGCTGCTAGAGGTGGGGGTGCTGCCAGCATCCTGCCCCACCAGCCTCCACCACCTCCTCCTCCTCCCTTCTCCAGGCTGTTCCATCCTTCCAGGCAAACACACACACCACACCACCCCCCCCTTTCCCTTGCAGCTCGCAGGGGGCCCCAGCCCTGCACGGGGGGCTGCGGGGTCGTGCAGCAGCACGTGCCGCCTGCCCCAGCCGCCCCTCCGCCGTGGGGGGCCCCGTCCCGGCCACGCCGGCGGTGCAGGGACACTGTGTCCTGCTCCACGAGGGTCGTGCTGTGCATGTGTGTGTGTCCCCAGGTATGACCCCGGCCAGCAGACACCCCCAGCGCTCGCCCACAGCCAGATGGGGTTAAGTGGGTGGCCAGCTCTGTCCTCGCCTCTTCCCCGGGTGGGGTGCACCCGAGGGTGGGGTGCACCCGGCGCTGCTGGGCAGGGTCACCACAACCGCCTGAGTCACTTGGCCCAACCAGCTCTGCCCCGCCGTGACCTGTTGCTGTCAGCCTTTCCCCCGCCTTCCCCCGGTGTCAGAGGGGAGCTGTGCCACATCCAGGGGGTCACCGCCACCCAATTCCCTCCCCAGCCCCCTCGCCGCTGCCGGGTCCTGCTGCACCCCCACATCACGGCCGAGCCGTCGGCGCTCAGCCCGAGCAGAGCTCAAAAAGCATCACGGAGCCCTTGTGAAGCGCTTTGTGGGGCTCAGAAGCCGTGGGGGGGCACACTCAGTACCCCTCACCACCAGGGCAGCCCTGGAGGCGGCTCCGGCAGCCCGAGGGTGCTGGCTGGCAGGGCGCAGGGTGCCGGTGGTGCCGCCGCCGTGCCAGGCCACCCCGGGTGGGCAGCGCCGGAGCGGGGCCAGGCCTGCGGGAGGCTGGTGAGGCCGAGGCTGGTTTTGCAATGCCAGGGTCGGGTTTCGCTGACGTGTCCCATGCTGCAACCAGCTGCTGACTCCAAGTCTCTCTCTCTCTCGTCCCTTTAATTACGCTGGCATTTCCTCCCCGCCTGCCAGGCTCCCCCTGCTCCCGGCAGGTTTGGCTGGTGAGGCCGCGGCCGCGCATCCTCGCCTCGCCACGAGCGAGCGCCGGGCAGGCTGGCAGGGTTGCTCCACCCGCACGCCTCCGCCACCTCTCCCTCGGCATCACCCCGCTCCGCCGGCACACGCCAGCAGCCCGCCCTGATGCTATTTCAAGGCACCGAGGGGTTAACCCAGCCCAGGCTGGCTCACCACGTTGCTCACCCTTCTGAAACAGGGGTGGGGAAAAACCTCCCCACGTCCCCGGAGGGGGGTCCCCAAGGGTGGGAGAGGGGGCCCTGGTTCTGCTGGAGGTGTTAGGACCGCCCTGCCAGCAGCCTGCTGCTGCCTTGGCTGGGCTCCCCTGCGCCTGCACCGCAGATATTTGCCGAATTATTCATATTTTCCGGCTGCGGGGAGGATCCGGGCTCGGATTCCCCCAGTCTCAGCTCAGCCTTTCCCTGCCAGCCTGCTGGGGTGGGAGCGCCATGTCCCCCCTCCCTGCCTGCAGCTCCCCCGAAGCCAGGCCAGCCACGGGCAAGGGACACCCCGCTTCGCACCCACCACGTGCTTTAAGGACGAGGCCGATGCCGTCCCCATGCCGCAGGGTGACACCTGCACAGGAAGGGCCGGAGGAGCCCTCCCGGGGGTCCCTGCCCTTCCCCACCGCTCAGGGACGTGGCCGTTCTCCCCGGGGAACCCAGCGCGGCCAGGATGTCCCTTCCCGCACCGGCGAGCGAGGTCCTGACACCGATCAAAGCCACCGGTGTTGCCGACAGGCTGGTGGGCTGCCTCCCCGGCCGGCGGGCACCGGTGCGGGTAGGACGGGGGCCCTGCACGAAGCCAGGCGCTGGGCTCCGTCCCTGTCACCGCGGGGAAGGACACTGTGCCTTTGCTGGGCAGGACACAGGCACCGCTCCCCTCCCTTACGCCCCCGCTAAAACAAGCCTATGTCAGCACGTGCCCCCTCCTGAGACCCAGCCGGGGGGATGCAGGATTAAGCCCTTAATCCTCCTCCCCTTCAACCCACCCTGCGCCGCCGCAGCTCCCACCTCCTCCCGGGCTCCCCTCCCTATTTAATTAAAGTTTCCGCAGCAGCCCCGGAGGAATGCAGGCCTGGTTATTGCATTCCCCGGGGCACTCGCCAGCCCCTCCGTCCCGCTCCTGCCCCTTTGACCCGGCCGCGCTCCCTGGCTCAGGTGCCAGGAAGGAGAAAAACCAGCAGAGCCGCTTTACCGCCTCCGGAGGAGCCCGAACGGTGGCGGAGGTTGGGAGGAGGCCGGCGATGCTGCCACGCGCGGCCCCGGCAGCATGGGCAGATTCCTACGGCGTGAGTGGGGCGGCCGTGGCTGTCCCCGAGCGCTTCGAGCGCTTCCTCCTGCCGCGTCCCGCCGGCGGAGCCAGCCGGGCAAGCAGCGCTTGCGTCAGGGCCACCCGGTGAGGCCACCCGGCCTCGGCGTGGTGCAGGGAAAAATAGTAATTAGTGTCATCCTTGACGGCACTGCCCAGCGCCGTGTGGGCAGCAGCACGGCCCCAGCTGGGTCAGGTCAGTCCGGCTGCCCCAGTTTCGGCAGAATGAGACCCACTGGTGTGGAGCACATTGGCCAGAGTGGGGGTTTTTGTTTGGGAAAAGGGGTCTTTCAACTGGAGCATCTCTGCTGGGATGCATTGGTTCTTGTGGCAGCTGCCAGGGCAGGAGGGAAAGGGGGACAGAAAGGGACACTTACCCCACGGTGGCCTAAAGTCACACCTAGAGAGGGTGCCGGGGGCCAGCACCCCCCCCCCCCCCCAGCGCACGCCGGGTGGCAGTGAAGCGCGCAGGGAGCTGGCAGCAGGAGAGGCGGTGGGGTATCCCTGCCGGCTGGCAGCCAGGCTGGCTGGGGGCCCTGCTGACGCCTGTCCTCTGCGCCAGCCGGGGTGGGAAACCCCCGCCGGCACTGCCCACAGAGCCCACTCGGCCTCACGGTGGGTCAGCAGCCCAGGACACCAGCCCCCGAGGACGGGCAGGGCGAGGGCAGCCAAACCCCACCCCGGCCGAGCCCTCCGCCAAGGAGGGTGGTGGTGGACACCACTGCCAGCAGCTCCCACCTCTGCCTGACCCCAAAGGGTGAGCCCTGCCGCCACATCGGCCGGGACGGGGCGAGCACGGGATGGATGCAGGACCACACTGGTCCCGTGGGGGGTCCTGGAGCCCTTTTGTAGGGCTGGAGGGAGCTGGGCTGTGCGTTAGCCCTGGCCACATCTCCTCCCTTCCCTGTGATGGGAGCAGCACCAGGCTGAGGTCCCCAGGCCAGAGCCCGGCACATCGCATGGCAGGATAAGCAGAGGCAGGGAGACAGGGAGCCTGCAGCCCTGCCTGCACCCTCATCCCTGCCCACCACAGTGCTGTCACCTCAGCCCCGTCACCAGCCCAGGTGGGGGCCAGCCAGGTGCCCCCCCCCCAGCTCAGCTAAGGCCTCGGGGGTGGGGAGGAGCTGAGCACCCCGACCCCCCAGCCTGGAGCAAGGCGCTGGCCGCGGGTTCCCTGCCTGCGGCCGAGGTGACACCCCGTCACCCGGGGAGGGCTGCGTGCCCCGGCGAGGCCCACGGAGCCCCCTCGGCCCCGCCACTCGCCCGGCAGAGCCCCCTCCCTCCCGTGGGCCGCCGCCCCCCGAGCCCCCGGCGCCGTGGCGAGCGGCTGGCCGGGGCAGCGGCCCCCGAGGACGCGGGACTCACCGTGGCGTGGCGTGGCGTGGCGTGGCGAGCCGGGCCGGGCCGGGCGGTCAGTCCATGGCGGCGGCAGCCGGCGGCCGGGCGGGCGCTCCCCTCTCTGGCGGCGCCGGGCGAGGGGGGGCGGCTTTAAAACCGCGGGGGGGCGGAGCCTGCCCTCCCGCCGCCTTCCCATTGGCTGGCGGGGGGACGGGGCACGGCTGCCCCTCCTCAGGCTCCGCCCCCTGCGCACCTGGGGCCCGACACGGGGCGGGACCCCCCGGAGGAACCGGGACCCCCGGGACCTCCGGTGTCCCCGGGATCCCGGCACCCCTGCTGTGCACGCACGCAGCCATCGCGGTAGGAGTAGGGGCAAGGGTGCCTGCCTCATGTCCCCCGCACCCTTGGCACCCCCCGGCACCTCCAGCACCCTCGGTAACACCAGGGGCTGGGTGTCCCTGCCGCCCCCGGTGACCCCCATATCCAGTGTACACAGGGTCACCAGCACCCTGGCACCCCGCTACCCCCCGGCACCCACAGAGGCCTGCCACCTGGCACCGCAAGGACGGCACGGGCCAGGACGGGACAACCGGACACCCAGGGTGCCCTTGTCCCAAGCTCAGGCCCCGGCGGTGGTGACAGCGCTGGGGACGGTGACCGCAACCGGGCCGGGGACACCGGTGCCTGCCGCGGTGTTTGCCTCCACGGTGCAAACAGTCCCGGGGCAGGACGGTGCCGTACCGGGCACAGCCATCCCTCGTGCCGTCCTGTGGCAGCACCAGGGTGTCCCCACCGTGGGGACTTGCTGGGGTGGGAGCACGGCGCAGCCCTCGCTTCGCCGTATTTTCTCTGAGCCGCGTGGTATAAAACCCCGGCACGGCATGGCACGGCTCCCTCTCCTCGCCACAGAAACGTCAGCTGAAGGGACCCAGATCGTCCCTTTGTTCTCTGCCCCTCCACCCCTGCCGAGGGAGGGCAGAGAGGTGGCCCTGTGCTCCTCGTCGCCACCGTCCCCTCCAGCCACCGAGTATTCCCTGCCACAGTCACCTCTGGCCACCGAGCATCCCCTTGGCCATCGTCCCCTCCGGCCACCGAGCACGCAGGGTGCAGGACAAGGAGCAGGGACACGCTCCAGCCGGCACAGCCCTGGCCACAGGGCACTCCCGGGGCTGGTGGCACCGCAGGTGCCGGGCGAAGCGGGGTGGCGTGCCGGGGTGTGCCACGTGCGCGCCCCAAACTGGCCGAGCCGGCTCAGCCAGCCCCGGGGCTCCCCTTTGGGTGCCGGTGTCTTCCCCGTGCGGGGCCGGGTGCCATCGCTGGGCACGGGGTGCAGGGATGGGAGCGGGATGCCCCGCAGCCCAGCACGGCTTCGCCACGGGCACCACGCAGCCGGGGCTGGAAGCGGCGGTGCCATCCCACCCGGGGTGGGACAGCGAGGGCACCCCCCCAGCACCAGCAGGGCC